ACAACTACAACAACGACTTCATCCGACGAAACACTCACCGACCCACTACCACTACCGAAACAAACGACACCGCAACCCCTACGACTACAGCAACCATACCGTACATAAAAGGCATGTCTGAAAACATCTCGCGCATCTTACTACCCTTCAATATCCGCGTCGCCCACAAACCCATCACCACACTACGTCAGTTACTAACCAACGTTAAAGACAAAGACGAACCGAGGAACAGACAGGGAACGATTTATAAGATCAATTGTTCCGACTGCCAAGCCTCCTACATCGGTGAGACTGGCAGAAACCTCACAACAAGACTGACTGAACACAGACGGGCGACGAGGAAAGGTGATGTCAGCAATCACATTGCTGAACACCATCGACTTACCAACCACAACATTGACTGGGACTCTGCGCAATGCCTAACCTACAGCACTGACTATTTTCAACGACTGACTCTGGAAAGCTGGTTTACTAACTTAGAACAGACTCCCCTAAACAGATGTCAACAACTACCCGCTCCATACAAACGACTCATTCACGACATAAACATCACAAACGACCGAAAAAGAACGACCTAACTTTACCGACAGATCGAAACAGACCAATCACGACCGACTTACGTCACTTGAGTCTTACAGCCAATAACATCACGGCAAAACCAACCGATCATTTCACACGAACTGGAATAAGAACATTCTACTGACAACAATCATTCACTTGACTCTGATGATGACTTCCGCACAGGTTGTCGAAACGTCAGTCACTACCACCGACAACAGTCCTTCTCAGGACTACACTCACCCGGACGATCAGACTACACCTTCACATAGTTTAGTAACTACTAAGAGTAGAAATTTGGTGTTGAATCAAGGTAACAACTTCTACCTGATAAGTTTAATTATTCTCAACACCTGTTTGTTGAACACTATACAGATATTATGGGAAGAAGTTACATGTTGATCACTTCTGGGAGTTTTTTAAGGGTTGAAAGGGACCAATGCTTGAATTATTCTTTGAATCACAAACCGCAGTAAGCTATCAATTGTGTTATTCTATAATTAAATTTGATAGCCAATTAAAAAGCAAAATGTTTCTTTTTTTGGAGTAAATTCCTCCTTTAAAATAAAAAAGATGACATTTACACTGATTGTCATCAGAAAAGGGATATTAATTTACCAAATTCCAACTATCCAAGGGACACATAATTACATGTACTCTAAACTTACTCCTGAAACAAATCTCTCAGTGGCCTGAATGGATGGTATCTCTACTGGAGCAGGCACAGGGCTAGGTGAACTGAAAAAAAAATTAATTATTTTCAATGTACGGATTAACTGGTGCACTTGCATGTACAGTACATTTTCTTAAACAAGGACACTTAGAAATCAAAAGCAAATCAGAGGTTAAAGTTGAAACAGTTAGAGATTTAACGCTTTGACCCCTTAGAGGTGACCAGCATCTAATTTCTCATTACAATATCACCCCTGAATCAAATATTAAGGTCAGGAGAATAAAGGAAATGATCACCAACTGAAGAAGCTCTTGATTATTAAACAAATTCTCCTTGTCAGCACCTTAGGAAATGTATAGAGAATAGTATGGAGAATATGCATACTGATGTCAGGGGTTGAGTGTTTAGGATAACTATTCTGAGGCCCATTTCTCAAAAGTCTTGGTAACTTATGGGACTGAAGCTATTATCTTAAAATTAAAATTTTAAGAATAGAAGAGCAGGTTGTGGCACCCAAACCAGTCCATTTTGTTTCGTTAGTTGATAAATTTATTGTATAATTTTCAAAACTTTTTAAAACCCCATCTTGAATAAAAACAGAACAGTGTAACTGGCCTGTTAAGTTACCTGAACCATCCTGAAAAGGGCCCAAGAGTACCTTTTCAGTATTTTGGTGACTTACCAGAAACATTAGCTACACCATTCAATCTTCATGTATTTATTTCTTGATATGAGTGAGCCGGGCACTAAAACTAATATTTGACTGTTACAATTATTAATACTAACTCTGTGAACATTAAAGGAGAATCGTCAAAGCCGACGAGGTTGTCATCATTATCACTTAATTCATCTTTGCTTCCACCTTCAACAACCATGTCTGAACTTGCTGTAGATGTTACTGAAGTACACACTGTGTTTGAAGCACCCCTAAAAGATGGGGAGAGTTGTTCATCATCAAACATAGCAAGTACACTGCTTATTATTTCTGGACAAGCAAACACATGTACCTTTGTGGGACACTGTAGATTGAAACTAACATAACTGCATAGCGTATATGTGCACGATCCTTCGCAGTAAAGCACTATTTGAGCAATAGTGAAAATCAGACCTGAAAAAGATTTCAGGCCTGTACGGGATTCGAACCACTGACCTCTGCGATACTAGTGCAGCGCTCTACCAATTGAGCTAACAAGCCAACTGGGAGCAGGCCATCAAATTAATTCGACATAAACCCGTAGATGATCAATGAAACAACAACAAATAACTGCATAGCCTTTATGAGCACCTGTTATATGAGAATAAGCTGGAAACTCCAAAATCAGTTAAAAAAAAAAAGGTAGACAAATTTTCAAGTGTCTCTTCCCTTACTTCCCTGAATATGCACCCACCCCCACCCCCCTTGGCCATAATTCCACACAAGCACTCCCCCCCTCCCTTACTTTATAGTAGAGATACAAGGAAAACTTGTTTCTATTGCCTCTCTATTTATAACTTTTTGAGCTTCACCTAAACTGAAATTAGGAGTATAGTTTCTTTTCCATTTCCAGTTATTTCTATCTCTATTTGCCTGCAAAGTTCCTTCACCTGTATTATCTTTTGTTTTGATTATTGTCCTTATTGCTGAGCTATCTTAATACACCCCTCTCAATAAAGGGCCCTCCTTCCCATAAGTGGCCCCCCCCCCTCTAAGTAAAAATTTAAAAAAAAAACCTAGGCATACTTGGGGAGACACCTCTAGACTACAAGCAGTCCCTCCTTTTTGGTGAAGTTTGTCACGAAAGAAAAAAAGTTGTTGAAAAAAGTGATTTTTTTTTTCACTTATTTTTTTTGGCACATGCAATAGACTTCACTGAAAAGGAGGGACTGCTTGTAGTCTAGAACACCTCTGCTATAGCAAAACTAAAATCTCAGAGCTAAATTACAACAACAACAATTTATCACTTATAGAGCGCTATTTACAATGACAGATCAACAGCGCTTTACAATCAATCCTAACCCGCCCATCCCACCCCAGGGGAGGACATCCATCACACAGTAATCTCATGCGTGGGAAATTAACGTCTCCTACCCCTAACCCTGTAGGAGACGGGACCTCCATTTATTCGTCCCTATCCGAGAAGACTAGAATATCTAACCATTTCTTGATGTTATAGAAAGGTAGCATATTCTTCTCAATTATTTTAAGACCTTGAGTGTTGGTCCGGCCGGGGCTCGAACCCTCGACCTCCCACACAACAGTTCAGCGCTCTATCCATTGAGCTAACCAGGAGAAGTAGAGATGTAAAGCAGACAAAGATAAGAACTCAAAGAGTGACCAGCATCTAATTACCACTTACAGTAATACTGCTAAATGGCCAAGCTAAGTAGCTTTGATGGTTAGAGGAATACTCCTTGTCAGTACCAAAGGAAATGCAAGAAAAGTGGATGCTGGTGTTGGGATGTGAAAGGATAAAGTATTGAACAGACATACCTCCTTTTCTCTGCAGCATCAGCCAGAAGAGCCCTTTTCTTTCTAAGATCTCCTTCCTGATCATTGACCATCTCTAATGGAGATGAACTGTGTTGGATGTTTTCCATTGGGAGCTCTTCTTTCCCGTCTTGTAGGGGCAGAAAAGCAATTAAATGTAGGGTTAGTGATGTGGACAGCTCAAAGTTCGCAGTTTAAGTGGCAAAAATAAATAAAATAAAACAATACTGTAAAAACATTCGCGACAAAGTCTAAAACTAGGAAATTGCAGAGTTTCCTTGAAAATCAGCGAGGAGATCATCGCTAAGATAACACGTAGAGACTGACTCAAGAGAAAACCTAAAAAAATTGAATGTATCTCGCCTCCCTTAGAACTTAGCTTACACGAACGCCATTTGAGTACCGCGAAAGCTCAAAATATCATTTAATTTAATTAACTGACCGATAATAGCTGTCATAGACAATGCGTTTGTTTGATCATTCATTCGATTATTCTTGATAGCCTTCATTTTGCCTCCAACTAATGTGGATTCCTGTACATGAATGGACGATTTCTGTTCATTTCTGTACCTACCGGCCAATTTGTTTTTAGATCACTGTGCTTTCATGTCGCCATCAGAGGCACGGAAAGAAGAGAACGAATATTGATTGTAACTCATTAATCATTCATTTTAGCTATCTCAGCCCTACCAGAGGACACGTTTGGGTTCGTTTGAAAACTGCTATGTACACCCAAAAAAAAAAAATTCTAAAAAGACACTCGAAAACATCTGATTGCTATTATGTGTTTGTGGCCGAAAGAAAAGGATTATTCAGATCGACAAAAACAAATCTTAGAGTGAAGCTCCTGAGAAAAAGGTATCTTGATTTAGATCGATAAGAAATGAGAATTACCTAGGAGGTGAAGGGGCACCATTGACATCATGGTCCGATGTCTTTTGAAACTCTCCTCGATGCTGGATTGTTTGAGCCGTTTACGCTTTCGATCCGCATTAAACTTAATGCTCATTATTCCTGCTAAGGTTCCAATGCATGAAGAGTAGGAACTAGTTGATTTGGCCCGCTGTCAAGGCATAACTGTCAAAAGATTCAAGAACAATTAACATGAAATACGAAACTTGTACCCGAAAAAACTAAACTCCTCTTTCGGGTCGATGCCTTCTTGGCCTGGATACCAAGTTCGCGCCAAGAGAGACATGGTTACCAAGCACATCAGTGGGGGTTTTTAAAATGGCGGCCTCTTGAGAAGGTTCCAAGAAATGCTACAAGGAGAAAAAAATGGGTGATAGATTGAAGCAGATTAGAGAAAAGTCGAAGCTTCGACGACAAATTCTTGCGCAACAGGTAAAATGTACTTAACGTTTCTCGAGGGAATTGTGTTATGGGGTCATTTAATCTTTGCAAAAAAATGGAAAAGCTATCGATAAATTATTCAAGTAATTTAAGTGGCGAGGGATCAACTTAGGGAGATCGTCAGTTGTGCATATGATTAATCATTTTCATATCCATCTTGGGCTGTAATGTAAATCGAGAGTGCTAAATTTAGTAAAACTTTAAGGATCACAAGCGTGAAATTCAGTGTATGTGGGTATATATGAATTTTTCTGCGCGATTTTGTTCAATTTAAAATATTGCACTCCTTTACATTTTGGAGCATGCTGGCTTGCCTTTTCTTGAGACGGAATGACATCTCGAGACAGACCGGGTCGGGAGGGGAACTAACGCCATATTTTGATATGTGTTCGTTTTGGAGGACTGGAAATCCTGACTCTATTTGGTCCAAATACTTTAATTAATGAAAACTATCCTGTGTAGAATGAAACGAGACCCGTTTTTTAACCCGTGTTTGGGACAAGAATGGACCATAACATTTGGAGGTTTAATGCACCTATAAAAATAGCAACACCCTTGTAATGGAAACATGACACAGGGGCATAACCAGGATTTTTCAAGGGGGGGGGGGTCACACTGTGTCAAACAGAGGGCACTCACCAGGTTGTCATGGCAACCTTCATCCAGTGTTATTCTAAATGTGATATTTTTTTAAAAAAGTAGGCTTTTCAACAAGGGCTTTTTGGGCTAAGACATTATTTTTCACAACCTGAATATTGTAGGTTGTTTCCTTAACCCCTTGACTGCCACAAGGACGCACTGAGTACGTACTGTATCAGATTACTTATAGGCTGTTAGGAGTTACTCAGTACATCCTTAAACATAGTACTTGTATGAATACTTCCACACATCGAGAAAACAATCAAACTGCAAACAATTAAACTGATGATGAATTTTTATCATTTATTTGATCTCTGTAGCTTAGAACTATGTAGAAGATTATAGGAAGCGGTGTGGCTGAGTGGTTAGGGTGCTGGACTTGTAATCCGGTGGCCCAGGTTCAAGTCCTCCACCCTCTACTCGCTGGATTTGTTCTCGGTAGCCCTGAGTTCGGCTCCTCGGCTGCGCTCTGTAAATAGCCTACTGGTCTGCCTTCTGCTAGTAGGGATTTTCATTCACTTTATGTTATTTAAAATCTTTGTTTGATTGATTTGAGGGCCACAAGTTAATCAGTTGAATTACTGTTATGTGTTATCCTCCTTAAATAAAGTTTTTATCATTATTATTATTATTATTATTATTATTATTAAGTATTATTAGATATATATCTTATTAGATGTTTTGTTGTGTAGTATAGCTGATTATTTTTATGAGTTGTGCCGTATTTTGACAAGCCCGTAGGGTGAGTCAAAATACAAAGAACGTTGTTCGTATTTTGACTCACCCTACAGGCTTGTCAAAATACGGCACAACTCATAAAAATAATCAGTTATGCTACACAGCAAAACATCTAATAAGAGACTTATTATCCAACATGCCAAATTGTTATTTCAGTGCGAGTGAATTTCCGAGATATTTGTTGAGTACAAATATCACGTGATATTTGTACTCGTCTCGTGACTGTGTTATTTGTACTCTACAAAGTGCAATTGGATAATAAATATTTATAATATTTTCAAACTTTGTTAAAAATGCAAAAATATTGCCAGCACAGGGGTGAAAAAATGACTCATGGTGAAAGGATTATAAAAATTTTACAAAGGGGGGGGGGAGGATCATGGTCATCCTGGGAACCCCTTAGCTATACCCTTGTGACACATGCTATACTGCTAGCTACACCTCTCTTCTTTTTATTAAATTGCTACCTCTTTACCTATGTTAAACTATGGCAGCCATATTTTTGTGTGACATGTGAAGAAGGCAAATTTGTAACTCATTATAAATAGAGGATATTACATGGCCGCTTGGGGATACGAATTTTATCTTCAAGTGCTGAAAGTATCTCTCACGAGTGAGAGATACATTCAGCACGAGAAGATAAAATTCGAATCCCCAAGCGGCCATGTAATGTTCTGTTTATTATATGGATACTGATGAAATTTCCACATAAAAGACAACTTTTTTTATTCATTTTCGAAACAGCAATTGGGTAATTATGTTGGTAACCATGGCCACACCAATATCCTCACACGTGAAAGATAAAAATAGTATCTTCACTGTGCGCGGTGAAGATATGATTTTTTAGTAAAAGGAGAAATCCTGGTATTTCATCAGTATCTAATTATATAATAAATTATAAGATACTAGAAAGAAATTAAAATCTTACTCTAACTTAAAACCAAGAGTAGTTTTGCAGTTTTGGCTATTTTTAGATCAGTTTTTCGGTTTTTGTGCCAAAAAACTTTGGTTTTTTGGTTTTGGTGTTCAATGTGGTTTGTGGGATTTCCACTTTTTAGCATTGGTTTTAGGTTTTTGGATTTGGTATCCAATCTGGTTTTTGGTTTTTTCCATCTTGGGTTCTGGTTTCCCTTTGATCTGAGGGGCAATTATGTGCCCCCACCAATCTCAAATAGTCGCCAAACCTCTATATGCTCCACTTGTGACCACTCTATTGGATTAATTAGGGGTTTTGATAACTGGGATGAGAAAATTTATCGGTTTTGCTGGTTTTGCAAAAATACCCAGGTTAAAAAATTGTACCTAGTGAAAAATTAAATTTACCTTAGAAAAAAAATTACCTGCAACATGTACCCCAATGCCCCTCAAGCTCTTATGCAGTACTGTAAGACTATAACTAAGACATCACAGCTAGCCAAATGGTAACTGGTCAAGTCACCCAACAGTCATCTTGTCAGAAGTCAGGTCACCCAGTTGGACAACTTGACTGCTAACCAGCCAAACATTTGGAAAGATAGGTCACCCATTGGGAACTTTTTTTAGCAATTTACACTATGAAAACTTGTTTCTTACATCTATGGCAACCAAAGTTGTCACACAGTGCTTTCAATAAGATTTGAAATAGGTGGCTACCTCGGTACAACATCCGCTGGAGAGCGACTTGATTGCGACTTAGCGTGGCGACTGCGACTTGAGCGCGGTGAAATATACCCGGCGACTCGCAACAGAATAGCCGCCGGAGCTCCGGCGGGTGCCAGGTCTTATTGAAAGCACTGTCACAGCATGGAGCACTGCATTTAAGGGAGTACTATGTATCTTGGCACCCCTTCTATCCATGCCCTTGATCATGAAATGTACATTTTGGCGATTTAGCTTGGTGCCTCAGGAGGTGATTCCATTGGAGATCTGCTGACCAGTAAAGAGGAACAAGAAAGAAAACGGCTCAAGATAACAGGAGAACAGAGGGATGACATACATCATTCAGGAGGTGATCCAAAGACCGTAGACATTGTTTTGCCTGGTGTCCCTGCAGGTCCAACCAAGGTTGGTTATTGGGAAAATTTTACATATGACTAAGAGCTCTTCTGATCAATTATTATTTTTTTCTGTAAAGAAGGGTCCCATTCATGATTTTGGTGAGATTTTGATGTTAGATCAGGAAAACAACTTCTACTTAAGAAGTTTATACAAATAAGATTTCTCATTACCTGTTTGCTGAATAATGTATGGATATTCTAGGGGAAGATACAGGTCCATCACTTGTAGGAATTAAAGGGATAAATCATATCCCTCAAATCACCTATAACAATCACAATAAATCACTGTAGATAAAGACACACATTATGCTTAGTTTTAATGTCTTGCTCATGTAGTACAATTTCCATGGATGGTTAATATAAGATTTTGATTTTTCAGGTGCTGATATCCAGGGAAGAGAGAAGAGAAGGCAAAACTACTGCACAAGAGAATACTGAAGACTTAAATAAAGTAGGTTGTGCCAAAGTTGTTTAATCCTTTAAGTCGCAAGATCTAATTGGTATTTCACCCTACTGACTTCTATACATACAGTTCCTCGTATATTGGACAGGGGAATTTGGTGTTACAAAACCATAATTCCAATTAGCAGATAAGCTTGTTTTTTCTCCTTACCTGGAATTGTAAGTAGAATATACAAATTAATCACTTCTGGCAATTGAAGGGTTAACCTCAGTATAAAAGAGACTTAACTGATTTTTCTATAAAGGTGGAATCATCATTAGTAGAAATAATTTTTTTGGTGACTAAAAATGTACCTTATTAAGGAATATTGATTCAAGAATTATTGGATAGCCTTCTGTCAGACACTTTCTTTCAAAATAGAAAAGCTTTGATTGCAGCTGAAAAATGCTCCAGAACTATAGCCTTAGTATCTGTTATGGTGTGTTCATTTAAAACAGTTTATTCAAGGGACATTTGTTGTACTCTCCAAGACTGTTCCCTGAATTAAGATACAACCATGTTGCAATGATATTGCAAGTCTGTGATAGTCAATTAAAATATTTGTATAATACTGTTTCTTAAAAAGTTGCCTCAGGGCATTTTTTTTTAATTGATAGTTGTACTTGTGAAGTTGATAGCTCAAACAATTGTTTTAACCTTAATCTGTTAAGAACAAAGAAGACTATGAAGGGGAAGATGTGGAGGAAGTTGTGTACAAAGATTCCAGCCACTTCTTGAAGGTATATAATAGATATTACTTTAAGACTCTTAAAGAAGAAAGGAAGTGTACTTCCATGCATTTCTTCAAGTTCTATAGTAAAGGTTGAACATAACTATAGAATACATTTATATGAAAAAGTGTGAAAATTTACAAATTAGTTTTCTTCAACTAGAAATTATGTTTTTAAAAATGTTCACTTTGCAAAAGTGTAGTTATAACCATAACTTTAAATGCAAAAAATTAATTAACAAGTCTGAAGAAGTTAAATTTTTTTTTAGTCTTTAAAAATTTCACCAGTTGAAATGTTTGCCTCAGTTGAATGATTTTGTAACCCTCCTGAGATGAGAATGTGTAATCTAAATAATACATTTATAAAAAGTTTTTGCGTCATAATTAGTTTCTTTTAAATGTTCAGGGAACTCAAAGTGCCAACCCTCACAATGATTACTGTCAGCATTTTGTTGACACAGGACAAAGGCCTCACAATTTCATCCGAGATGTTGGTGGGTACTATCTTTAAACAAAGTGTCTGATTTTGTTGTAGTAGGGTGGCAAGGCCTACAACCCACAATTCCCCTATTCACTCTGACGAAGGGCTAACGCTCGAAACGTCAGCTTTTATGATCGTAACGGTGGCCAATTTACCATTTCAACTTTGTTGATATATTCAGATTATTTCTTTACCCCCACCGATGCAGCCCCAAACAGTTTCTTTAGAAACTATCAGCCTTTAATCATTTCAAAGTTGCCGTTTGGTAACCCAAAATTTTAAAATAGTTGCTGGTTGTCAAAATAAAATTATGACTGCCAGCCATAATTTTTTTCTGACAATTGTGTCATTTGAAGGGAAATGTTTATTTAAGGATATGAAGTTTAATTAAAGAATTTTTAAGCAAATTTCTATTTGTTTATACTTTAGACACAAAGCACCATGTTATCAAAACATTGGGATTTGCAATGTGCTGTTTAAGGATACAAAAAAGAATCATTATGGCATGTATTAATGAAAAAAATGACTGTGTCTTGTTCTTTTTCATAGGACTTGCTGATAGATTTGAAGAATATCCTAAACTCAGGGAACTCATCAGACTCAAGGTGACCCTGAATGTTATCTTTTCACTAAGGTCCAGTTTACATTTCAAACTTTTCCTGTACTCAAATATGAGTAACCTAATTATTTTTAATTTATTAAGTATATGAAAAAAATTAACATCGGAATCAATCAAGTTTGAATGTCTTTTTAGGGTTGACTCAAGATTCAGTTGAGTAGGGTGTGCCACTTAAATTGGTTAAGCAGGGCTCAACACTAACTTTTCAACTTACTAGCCAAGTGGCTGGCTACTGATAACTTAGATGTCATGACAATTTCAGTTTCTGTGGCTCTCCCACAGACCAAATATCCAAGTACCTGACAACAATACTACAACCGCTAACCGACAAATCCAGACATAAACTACAATCCACTGAAGACTTCATTAATGCTACCAAGACTGTTCAGATACCTGACGACTACAAACTAGTGTCATTTGATGTGAAATCACTGTTCACAAGTATTCCACTTCAATTAGCATTACAATGCACTGAGACTGCAATCCGAAAATCTACCGAACCACTACCGCTACCGACAGACGACATCATGGACTTGCTAAACATTTGCCTAACGTCTACTTACTTTCAGTACAACGGTAAACACTACAAACAGTTACACGGCACTGCCATGGGGTCTCCAGTTTCTGTTGTTATAGCAGAAATTGTGATGCAGAACATCGAGGAACGCGCCCTTTCGACTTGCCGACAAACGATACCGCTTTGGTTACGTTACGTTGACGACACATTCACCGCCGTTCGACACGACGAAATTGACGCATTCCACAACCACCTTAACGAACAAAACACTGACATACAGTTTACCAGAGAAGTCGAAGAAAATGGCAAACTTCCTTTTCTAGACTGCCTGGTAAGCCACAACGACAACTCATTACGAACGACAGTTTACAGGAAACCGACACACACCGACAGATTACTAGACGAGTCATCCTACAACCCTACATCACACAAAGCCACAACTATCAGAACTCTAACACGACGCGCACAACTAGTATGTGACTCGACAGACAGCTTATCCGACGAGAACAAATACCTTCACCGTGTTTTTACGAAGAACAACTACAACAACGACTTCATCCGACGAAACACTCACCGACCCACTACCACTACCGAAACAAACGACACCGCAACCCCTACGACTACAGCAACCATACCGTACATAAAAGGCATGTCTGAAAACATCTCGCGCATCTTACTACCCTTCAATATCCGCGTCGCCCACAAACCCATCACCACACTACGTCAGTTACTAACCAACGTTAAAGACAAAGACGAACCGAGGAACAGACAGGGAACGATTTATAAGATCAATTGTTCCGACTGCCAAGCCTCCTACATCGGTGAGACTGGCAGAAACCTCACAACAAGACTGACTGAACACAGACGGGCGACGAGGAAAGGTGATGTCAGCAATCACATTGCTGAACACCATCGACTTACCAACCACAACATTGACTGGGACTCTGCGCAATGCCTAACCTACAGCACTGACTATTTTCAACGACTGACTCTGGAAAGCTGGTTTACTAACTTAGAACAGACTCCCCTAAACAGATGTCAACAACTACCCGCCCCATACAAACGACTCATTCACGACATAAACATCACAAACGACCAAAAAAGAACGACCTAACTTTACCGACAGATCAAAACAGACCAATCACGACCGACTTACGTCACTTGAGTCTTACAGCCAATAACATCATGGCAAAACCAACCGATCATTTCACACGAACTGGAATAAGAACATTCTACTTACAACAATCATTCACTTGACTCTGATGATGACTTCCGCGCAGGTTGTCGTAACGTCAGTCACTACCACAGACAACAGTCCTTCTCAGGACTACACTCACCCGGACGATCAGACTACACCTTCACAATTTCAGTTTGTTTATGAGCCAAACTCGCTAGTGGAAACTGAAAATCATCAGCCAAAACTGAATTTCTACTAGTCTGTGGCTAGTTGGCTACCGTTAGTGTCGAGGCCTGCCTAATAAGTGTGATTTTGTTTTGATCCCACAATTTCTCTCTTTCACCAAAGCATAAGTTCTGCATCAGAACTGGGCCTAATCAATTTGTACTTCTGTTGATGATTGATTCTTTTGGTATTAAATGCTGTTGTCATTTTATCATGTTTAAATTTTTCTTAGGATGAGATCATTGCAGAGAGAGCTACTCCCCCAATGTAAGTAACTGAGACAGGGCTGGTTGTTCGAAACAGGGTTAACATTAATCTAGGATTAAAAGTTAATCCCAGCTTTAATTTTTCATGTAGTAGAGTGTGTATAAGAGCTAAGGTTTTGTTGGAGTTTATCTCAATATGACTTGAAACTAACCCTGGGTTAGGTTAATGGTGTTTTGAGCAAGCCGCGCCTGAGGTCTTATGTCATCACACAAAAAAAAAACTATTATAGTTTATGACATAACTCACAGACCCTATGGGGACTTATACATGGTTACAAATAATATTGATGGTGTAATTGGTTGAATTTCTATTCAAATTTTACCTCCAAAGATCTGCCGGTAATTGTTTTCTTCTACTGATTTACCTTTCCTAAAGGTTGATTTCTGGTGACTAAAAGAAGAACTTGGTGTTTTTTCCTGTTTCCCTTCATTCTTATGCCAGTTTTTAATTTTTTCTAAGGTATCTTCAGTGTGACCTGGATATGTTTGATCTTGATGACCTTGAATGTAAGTTTGATGTGTTGTATATTGACCCACCCCTGGAGGAATATCAACGACGTGCAGCTGGTACTACCTTTAACTGGAAACCTTGGACCTGGGATGAGGTCAGTTGTATCCCTTTCTATGTAAAACCTTATTAAGTACTCAGTCTTTGAAGCTGGGCGGCCCTTAACTTCTGATCAGGAAGCTTGTTACAGCTTCTCTAGCATGGTATAATTAGAGGTCTGTGACCTATCTTGGATAGCACTAGCCCCCCCCCCCCCCCC